ATAAACTTCCCAAAATAAAAATTCATAAAATGACAAACATCAATTCCCTGTCTCTGACAGTGATTAGTGCACCTTCTGATGATCTTGATTGGCTCACCTTGCATGGTTACAAGATTTAGTGGTCATGGAATTATCCTGTGGTTTTGTTGTTTTTAATTCAGATACAGCATTTGTCTGAACTAGCTGCTGTGGCAGAGAACTGACAGGTTTACTATACAAACTATAATCAGTAGTTAATTTGTTTGTCCCAAATGTACTGTCCTTAAATGTATTAAATGTTCCTATGTCATGCTGTAGGGAATGGTGAAAGATCTATTAATGATTTACTTCACTCAACTGTGAAAATTGTTCTTTTCACCAGTCACTGACCCTCTCATCCCATGACTGGCTTTATTTTGATTAAGAGCCTTTGATGAGGGACCCTGTGAAAGGCTTTCAGAAAGTCCAACTAAACTATATACATTGAATCACCCTTTTCTGCATGTTTGTTGACTCCTGAAAATATTCTAATAGGCTGATAAGAAAAGGTTTCCCTTTACAAAAGTTATGTTGACTCCTTCCCAAAAATACCATGTCCCTATATGCATCTGATAATTCTGTTCTTTACTATGGAAATCAGAAATACTATACTAAGAAATTTTAACTATATTTAAGGCTGTACGACAGTCATGGAGGTCACAGAAGTTGAGAATTTTTGGGACCTTTGACTTCTGCAGCAGCCAGGATGTCTGGCCGAGACAGGATGTCTTTACACCTCATCGCTTGTAAGCAGTAAAACGGAAGCCCTAAGATCCAGTCTGTCACAGTAAGATGGCAAGGGAGAAAAGGAGCAAAACATGTCCCAGTTCTCAAAAGGATGTACTTCACATGAATGAAAACAGGTCTAAAGCACAGTTGACCCTATAACTCTGACATCTACAGAGAATTGAGATGTCAATTAAAATATTGAAGTAATAGCATCTGGATACGTATATGCTCACCAATTTTCACCCTTAATACATTAGTGTTTACCCAAATTACCACACTGATATATGAAAGAAGAAAAAAAGTTGTTTCCCACACTTAAAATAGATCACATTTTAAATACCACTGTTGTCAACCACTGCTGACAATTTCAAAATAATATTAATTGATGGCAGAACAATAACTACTGTGTGAAAGTGAATTGGAGGCATCTTTTATTTTCTGACAAACATTGGGATAAAAGGTAAAAAATTCAAAAATAACTTAAATGACATTCATTGAGATGTAGTCTCATAATGGTATTTCTTGAATATATGCTTTTGGCAAAACTTTATGGCCTACTCTAACCAATACTGACAGATATAAGCTACATTGTATGAATGCAGAAAGGTTTGCAGAATTGGGCCCCATTGTGGCATGTTACAGTTTTAAATGTTCTTCAGTTAATGGTTGGAATAGTTTCCCTGTGAAATTATGATTATGTCATGTATTAACACAAGACACATTCCGTAAGGGTCAAGCTCCGAGTTCCTCATTCTGTATTTTATCAGGGAAATTTCTACTGATGGCAGCATCTCAGAATTTAACCGAGAGTAAGGTCATGTCTGCACTATGAGACAAGGTTGGATCTATTAAGGTCCATTTCTGGTCTCAGGATTTTGCAGAGTTGAAGGACCATGTTCCCACTATGTGCAAGCATTCAACATTGTTCTAAGTAGCACGTCCCCTCTTAGGGAGACTGCCATTGACTCTGAGAGCAATGCATTGTGGATAGCTATCCCACAGTGCCTTCACTTCACCACTTTGCATTCTGGGTTATACGCTGGGTAGATGGTGGGACCAAAACTGTGCAGCGGGTGGTTATGGTTTCATGTCATCAGCATCCCATAATGTGCTCATGTACTTCCTCCTGCCTTGAGAACGGGAAACACCCTTTTTGCCCGTAGTTACCCACAGCACGAGCATGGCTCCCCTTGCGCTTCCCGTTTTGCATTAAACCGTTGTGACGTTGATGTCTACCTTGATGTACCTAATGATGCAGTATTTTGAGAGTATAAGCATTTCACTCCACCACGCAGAGGGTAAAGAGGAATCTCCTGTCTCGGGGTGCCATGGGCATGCTATATAGGCAAGCCCTTGCATCAAGCAAATTGGCCGTGCAGCCAGCATTTGATTCTCTGGAATCATGAGTCTGGTGCCGTCAGACAAGCATGAACGTGGGACCGCATAGTTTTGCAGATATGGGATAAGAAGTGTCTTGGGCAGACTCCACGGTCTGGCTTGGGAAGCTGGTCGGGTCCCCCCCAGATTCACATGCAGCTGGTCGTAGAAGTGGCGTGTTTGTGACTATGCACCAGACTGTGCATTAGCGTCGTTTGCCTTGTAGTTGGACTACCTCAGCTCCTTTATTTTAATTTGGTATTGCTGGGCATCCATGGAGTATCCTTTCTCCACCAGGCGCTTTGCTAGCTTTGCTTAAATACTGATGTTTCTTTTGCTGTTTTGGAGCTGAGAGAGAATGGTTTCCTCTCCCCACATCTCAGTGAGGCCCAATATCTCTTGCACACTCCATGCTCATGCGCTTTTGCTCTGCTGGTAACTAGAGGTCATGGATCTTAAACTCATGGAAGTGATGGCCATATGTGCTACTCAGTTGTGCTGCTTGCTCTGAGGTGTGTTCTCAATACCGGCCACACAGGAAACGAAATACAAACTTTTCCAGAAAATTTCCTATTCACTTGGGGTATGTCTAGACTATATAGCTCCATCAACAGAGCCATGTAGATGAGTTTACTATACATAGAGAAAAGAAGCGGCGATTTAAATAATCGCTGCTTCATTTACATACAAATGACCGCTGCACTGTGCTGATCAGCTGTTTGGTGGCACAGCGTGGTAGTCTGGACACGCCGTGGTTGACAAGGGACACCTTTGTCGACTGCCCCGGTAAACCTCATTTCACGAGGCTTCCTTTGTCGACCGCAGCGCATCCAGACTACCACACTGTACCTGGCATGGTCGAATTCATAGTAGTGTAGACCCAGCATAGAGAAAGTTGAGGTTCTTAGCTTCTGTGAGGCATCCCGCAGTGCTCCAAGGGTATGTCTAGGCTACATGGCTCCGTCGACGGAGCCATGTAGCCTAGACATACCCTTGGAGCACTGCGGGATGCCTCACAGAAGCTAAGAACCTCAACTTTCTCTATGCTGGGTCTACACTACTATGAATTCGACCATGCCAGGATGAATTTTACGTTACTCTTCATTAAAAGCAGGTGTACCAAAATAGACTTCAACGGCCCTTAAAATTGATGGAATGGCATTGGTAGTGTGGACTCTGTTTAGAAAATCAAATTTAAGCAGCTAATTTTGATCTAAACTTCTAGACTTTGTCTACACTGCAGGGTTTTGGGGCAAGAAGCTTTTTGCAGAATAGATCTATGGCAAAAACATCTTGCGCAAAAGCGCGTCCACACCTCAAAAGCATATCACTAAATGTGCTTTTGCACAAGAGAACATCCACATTGCATAGACATTCTTGTGTAAGAAAGTTCGGATTGCCAGTCACAGAATGGCCATCAGAGCACCTGTGCTTTTTGTGATAGGCTCTTTTTGTGCAAAAAACCCCTGTTGAGCATCCACATGCACATTTTTGTGCAAGAACTCTTGCGCAAAAAGGAGGTAAGCCTTGTAGAAGGAGGTATACCTACTCTGCACAAAGACCTCTTATCTGTTGATTGTAGATTTTCTTGCGAGGTGTAGATGCTCGGCGGGTTTTTGCACAAAAACCCTGTAGTTGTAGACATAGCCCTAGTATACTCCAGTCCTAAGAATTTTTCCAGGAAGATTCAGTCATTTCACAGCAAACAAGTGAGCTAAGATTTAGTTATGCGAAGACAAGTTGTTTAAAGACTTTATTAAATGTAAGCATTTTTCTTTACAGTGGAAAATATTTATTATTAAAGAAACAGTTTTTTAATTAAAATTTCACCATTGAATATCTGGGAATCATCAAAACTAGAAAATGTCTGTTTTTGCTGTCCATTCTGAGAGAAATGAAAATTTCATATGAAGCTTTTTTCCCCCCAGTGAAATGTGAGGTACACTTATTTTGTCTATTACACATGATAGAGTGCGCCCCATAGCCAAGCAAAAATATTTTTTCTTATACACAAATTACAATTGACTTGCATTTTTATCTATTTTATTGGGAAAAAGATGGATAACAACCTCAGTCTTTCTGAAGGAGTTTCTTATTAGTTTGATGATAGGAAACAATACAAAGTAAAAAATGGGGAAAAAAGAACAAAACGAAATATTCTCTGTACCAAGTGATGAGCCCTTATTGTTTCTGTCATTATAAAAATATTGAATAATATATGTGTGCATGCATAATACCAATTATAGTAATTAGCTTTAAGCTAAGATTGAAGTATTTTGTTGTTACTTGTTGAGCAACATTAGCATTAAAAAACACAGGCACTATTTGTCTGAATAAATACACGAGCTACTACAAAGCTCACAATGTGAATGACTTGATCAGTAAAACTGAATTTTCATTTCTAAGCCCCAGTCATCAATCTAAACAGTCCTGTGAAAATCCTTCAAATGGCTACTATTCTGAGGCATTTTTATACTTATGAGGACTTGACTAACTTTCCTGTAAAATTAAGATGTCTTGATTTACTTGCATTTTGAATTAGATATTAATTATTTAAGGAGATTTGACTCTCTCACTGTCTATGTTGTGATTGCTTTATTGTCATATATATAACCTATAAAAAAGTTAATGGGGACCTGAACATTATCTGGATGCTGATACGTAAAACTTCTTTGTGTTAAGTTCAAAACAATTCATTACAATATGCTGCTACCTCACACTACTTCAAAGAAACCACCCCCGTACCTTTTCCCATGTCAAATGAACCACACGAACTAAAATCCTTGAGGATTATTAATGCTTAGAAGTTACATAATACTACCATGCAAAATTATATTTTCTGAGTGCATTCCATGCAAAAAGAGATACATGCTTACCTTTGCTCGCACTCTCAACGTGTTGCAGTTCATCTGGGAATTTTAAGATGTCCTGATAACGCTCTTCACAGAAGTCAGCCAGAAAATGCAAGAGTGTTGTTTTTTGATCTGATGATTTTGTATCTCTAATCTGCAGAGATGAGAACGAAGTAAAGAAATCAGGAAAGACAGTATTATAGTTTCATAAAGCCATTTTAAAAATTTTCAGATTTTGTTTTAATTCACTTAACAGATTTTAATTAAATTTTTCTACATTGCTACGATCCTCAAAATCATTTCTTTTTAAATTAACCTTAGCATGGTGTGATGGATGGGAATGATTCTGTCCTTTTCTAAACATCCCAGCATTCAGTAACTAAAGGGTTAAACCTCATTAGCTAGGAAATGTTGTCATGAAATATTGAACTAAAAGGGAATCTGCTTGCTGCTTTTCTTTCTGGAAGTTTTATACAGGAGATGGAGGAGGAAAGATTAATTGAACTGGCCAGAGATACCATGCCTAGGCTTAGAAATAGACTGGATCCTGAAGCTATGGATATGTAAGCAATAGGGAATATTTATTTAGATGTAACCAGGTGACTTTCTTTGTTTTGTTGTTTGGTTAAACTCCTCTGAGCTGAGTCTATGTCTCCACTCCCTCATACCCTGTATCTTTAAAGCTGAATCATAGAGCTGGACAACACCTCAGCAGGTCATCAAGTTCAGCCCCTAGCCCAAAGCAAGACCAATCCCAACTAAATCAACCCAGACAGGGCTTTGTCAAACAGAGACTTCAATACCTCTAAGGTGGTAGAATCTCCATCGCAGGTATCCCATTCCACTGCTTCACCACTCTCCTAGTTTTTCCTAATATCAAACCTAGACCTCTCCCACTGTAACTTGAGACCATTGCTCCTTGTTCTGCCATCCATTACTACTGTGAACAGCCTTCCTCCATCCTCTTTGGAACCTCTTTTCAGGAAGTTGAAAGCTGCTCCTCACTCTTCTCTTCTGCAGACTAAACAAACCCAAACCCTCAGTCTCTCCTCACAGGTCATGCACTCTAGCCCCCTAATAATTTTCGTCGCCCTCCGCTGGACCATCTCCAATGCGTCCACATCCTTTCTATAGTGGGGGGCCCAGAACTCGACACAATACTCCAGATGTGGCCTCACCAGAGCCGAATAAAGGGAAATAATCATTTCTCTGAATCTGCTGACAACGCTCCTCCTAATGCAACCTAATATGCCATTCGCCTTCTTGGCTACAAGGGCACACTGTTGACTCATATCCAGCTTCTCATCCACGATAATCCCCAGGTCCTTTTCTGCAGAACTGCTATTTAGCCATTCAGTCCCCAGCCTGTAACAATGCTTGGGATTCTTCCTTCCCAAGTGCAAGACTCTGCACATGTCCTTGTTGAAGCTCATCAGATTTCTTTTGGTCCAATCCTCTAATCTGTCCTGGTCTCTCTGGACCCTATCCCTGCCCTCCAGGGTATCTACCCTCTCCCCTTTGCTTAGTGTCCGCAAACTTGCTAAGGGTGCAATCCATCTTCTCATCCAATCCAGGTCATTAATAAAGATGTTGAAAAAAACTGGTCCTAGGGGCATTACGCTAGAAATCAACTGCCAACCTGACATCGAGCCGTTGATCACTATCCGTTGGGCCCGATAGTCTAGCCAGCTTTCTATCCATTTTACAGTCCGTTTGTCCAATCCCTATTCCCTTAACTTGCTGGCAAGAATATTGTGGGAGACCATATCAAAAGCTTTGCTCAAGTCAAGGTATATCACATCCACTGACTTTCCCATATCCACGGAGCGAGTTGCCTCATTATAGAAGCTAATCAGATTGATAGGCATGACTTGCCCTTTGTGAATCCATGTCGACTATTCCTGATCACTTTCCCCTCTTCCAAGTGCTTCAAAATGGATTCCTTGAGTATCCCCTCCATGATTTTTCTGAGGACTGAGGTAAGGCTGACTGGTCTGTAGTTCCCTGGATTGTCCTTTTTCCCTTTTTTAAAGATGGACACTATAATTGCCTTTTTCCAGTCATCCAGGATCTCTCTCCAAGAGTTTTCAAAGATAATGGCTAAGGCTCGGCTATGACATTTGTCAACTCCCTCAGTATTCTTGGATGAATTCCAGGAGAAGCAATTCTCTGTGCTTTAGTCTGTTTTTTTCCCCTCAGTTGCTCTACAACATCTACCAACCAAGTATGCTTTACCAAATATATCTCTTTGTTTTGTTAATAAATAGCCCATTTTTAAGAGACAGTTTTGATTCTTGGGTCCTGGAAAATAATAGATCTGTGTATGCATGCCTAAGGCTGAGAGGTCGGCTATCAGCCAATACAGTTTGTTCTCCTTTCCCCTTTCCCCTGCCAATACCTCCTGTGGTAATAGAGCTTGAGGTACCCCTGTGGAACAAGTTCCCAAGTGATTTTTTTCCTGGATTCAAGAAGGGCCTCCTACCCTACTTGGATGGTGGCAGCATACCTCCCAAGGTCAGGCAATTTATGACCTTGGGAAGTTTTTAAGCAGAAGCCTGTACAGGCAAGATATTTTAAGGTATCTTGCAGGCCCCATCTTCTGCATTCAGAGTGCCAGAGTGGGAAACAGTCTTGACATATGGTTTCTAAAAATTACTAATTGTTCAAAATACCTCAAATATTTGAAAGATGCCAACTCAGTAAATCTTTATAATATAGATTACGAAGAGGCATGGTGCACGTGTTTGAATGACTGTTATGCTGAGATGGTCCACACTAAGAGGAGAACTGAATGTCGCAAGACTGAATGTCGCAAGAACTGAATGTCGCAACAAACTAAATAAGTTACAGCCGCTCCCCAAGTTACGACCACCTCCACTTATGACCATCCACAGTGGATGAGAAGCTAGATATGAGCCAACAGTGTGCCCTTGTAGCCAAGAGGGCTAATGACATATTAGGTTGAATTAAGAGGAGCATTACCAGCAGATCCAGAGATGTCATTATCCCCCTTTATTTGGCTCTGGTGAGGCCACATCTGGAGGATTGTGTCCACTTCTGGGCCCCCCACTACAAAAAGGATATGGACGCATTGGAGAGGGTCCAACGGAGGACAACCAAAATTATTAGGGAGCTGGAGCATATGACCTATAAGGAGAGGCTGAGGGAGTTGGGTTTGTTCAGTCTGCAGAAGCAAAGAGTGAGGGGGGATTTGATAGCAGCCTTCAACTTCCTGAAGGGAGGTTCCAAAGAGGATGGAGAGAGGCTGTTCTCAGTAGTGACAGATGGCAGAACAAAGAGCAATGGTCTCATGTTTTGGTGGGAGAGGTCCAGGTTGGATATTAGGAAAAACTATTTCACTAGGAGGGTGGTGAAGCACTGGAATGGGTTACCTAGGAAAGTAGTGGAGTCTCCATCCCTAGAGGTGTTGAAGTCTTGGCTTGACAAAGCCCTGGCCGGGTAGATTTAGTTGCGATTGGTCCTGCCTAGAGCAGGGGGCTGGACTTGATGACCTTCTGAGGTCTCCTACAGCTCTATGATTCTATGAATATCTCATCCCGCTTTCAGCTCTCCCATGTAAATGCGTGTATAGGAGCTTGCTGGAGGGTCTTTGGACTCAATGAGAAAAAAAAATGGGGACATGGACTATCTCCACTAATTTTTCCACCAACAAATCCCCCAATATAAGTCAGTATTCCTTGCACAGTCTCAATCACCCCCAGCCTTCAATGAAAGAAACTTATGGACAACAATAATCATGGAAACACTGTGGAACCACTAAGATACACTGTTAATTTTCTGACAGACACTGATTTTGACGCCAGCACTCATGATAAGTCCCATGTGTGGGGGGCCTGGGAGCCTAATGAAGAACTCATCATATGATGCACCCAAGCCTCAGCTCAGAGTTTCTGTTCTCCATACAGCAAGGAAAAAATACCAAATTTTACCATCTGAAATGGAAACTCTACAATGTGAAGCATAAGGAAGTGAAATGTAACACCAGAATCTACTTCCTTTGCAAATGTAAAAAACAAAACAGTATCCACAGATGTCTCAATCTATAAGCCTCTGACTGCTACCTACAACTCCACATATTTATGTGGAAAAGTCTGTTCCACTTTCTATGTAGCTGTGACACACTAAGGACACTTCCCAGACCTGAAGAAGACCTCTGTGTAAGTTTAAAAGTTCTGAGTTCAAACAAAGATGTCACTGAGCTTGTTTCTCCATATCCCACCCACGGAGGTATAACTCTGCTCTGTTTGTGTGCATTCGTTTTAGATTTGGCTGATATACAGAATACAGTTATTACATATTTGCAAGGATGTGAAGAGCACAGAGTAATGCAGCTAGAGAATGTATGTAATTATTTTCAGAGACTTTTTCATAAATGAGCATCAGTAATACAGATGAATTTGTAAATGTTTTTGTTAAACCCACCTTGGCATCTAGTGCTTTGTCTAATACAGATTAAGCTACAACATATCTTACAAATGAAAGCAAGCATTTATTTAAAAATAAATCATAAATATGTGCATAAAATCTCCCGTTTGTTGTCTCTTTCTAGAACTTATAATTCTATAATCCTCAAATGATGGGCTTGCCCCACAGATACTCATTTTAATGCAGGACTTGCAGCTTTAAGGATTTACTCTGTTAAGAATGAGTACACTCTATAAGCAGGCTTTTAAAAATATAGGATATTTAGGCAATTAGAAAACAATTTAATTCATGCTTATTTGGTTACCAAAGAAAAAAAATGTTCAGCAAAGATATACAGTATAAATCAGGACTTAATGTATTACTGCGCCATATACACAAGTCTTTTTTTTTTTCCAATTTCTTTTCAAAAGCTAAATGCAGTTCCTTCAACTACTAAATTGCATTTACAAAAACTTTCATAAGAAAAGAATGTTTTATCTGTAAGTGTTGCAACATCACAGAATAGGTAAAATTAAGGTAATTCATATAGACAAAAAATTGCCTTTCCTTCAGACTACAGAGCTGTTTTCTGTGGTGCTAATAAAATGGTGCACTAAATATGTACAGTAAACTTCCGATAATCCGGCACCTTTAGGATCCAGGGAGTGCCGGATTATCAAATATGCCAGACTATCGGAAGGGGGAGCTATGAGGGGTCTGGGGTGGAGT